TTAAGACTTTAAAGCTAAGAAAATCAAACCAAAACTGATCTAAGTAGAATCACTCATCTTTTTGCATCCCTCCACTTTGTTTTATTGACTAACTAGTGAGTAGGTCTAACGTAAATAACCATCTGGTATATCTTAGCCCTTAGCAGCTGTTCCTATTTTATACTGATAACTTCCCAACGAGAACTCTTGATAGGGCAGGTTTTAGTCAGGGTTGCAGGTGTGTGGCTGAGTTAGTACTAGAGAGCAAAAGAAGGGAATGAGTTGATTATAAAGACTTCTCTATCTTTCTTCTAAAACGCTGTTTTTCTTTCACCCCTTAGGTGGGGAGGAAGTGCATTGTGGTTTTCCCTAAAACTAAGGTAAAAAGATGTCTGGTCTGTTCTGAGGGTGGTAGTTCAGTTTTGAATTGCCTGAAGTTAGTAAGGCTTGTTGATTATGGTAGTAGCTCGAAGTCAGTGGTTTCTCAGGATCTAATATTTATATGGCTTGTCATTACAACTAATGTTTAATGTAGCCCAGGAGATATCCTAAGAGTAATGAAATGCTGTTTTATGGGTATCTGTAAGGGGATAGCTGTCCTGAAAGAAGAAATTGTGCTACTTGGGGTAAGAAGGCTGTGCTCTGTTTTGGGTGGTCTTAATATATCAACCTAAGGGGTGTTTCAATATTGTTTATAAAATTTTGATGTGATAATTGATTATCAGATAAACAAAACTTGTTAAAAAGGTCTTGAAGAATGAAATGTTTGTAGTGTGTAGAGTACAGTAGACTGTATGCTTCTGTTCTGTATGTGGTATGCTAATATTTCTCAGAGTTGCTGTTCCTGACTAGTGGGATGATATATACAAGTTCTATGCTGGTAGTTATAATGCTGAGCTGAAATAAGGGGAAGTATCTGCCTTTTCAGTAAGCTAGTTAATGTATGCTTTTAGAGAGCTATCAGTGATAGTAAATAATCTTTTCTTAAAAAAAAAAAGTTTGATTCTCACAAGATGCGTTTTGTCAAAAGCCTTGACCTCTCTAGTGTAGTAATTTATGTGAGCTATTTCCTTTTTGCTTTTAAACTAAAAAACATACCTCTATCAGGTTAGCTAAAAATTTCAAATTGGGCCTTAAGGAAATACTTAAGGTTTCTCTTTTGAGACTGCTTGATCTTTGGGACCTGCCTCAGTAGCTCAAGGACACATGTGGCTGGGAAGGGGTGCTTTGAAAAATATTGAACAATCTAGCTGGCTGGAATCTGATCACACTTTTGCTTCAATATACAAACTTAAGTTTTATTTTAAGCTAGAGAAGAGTGCTATGTGACTAGGGAGAAGGTGAGGGGGAGGGATTGACCAAAACATAAACCCTTGTCTGTCCTTCAGAAGATACCGTCTTAGCTCTTTTGTTGGCATGGAAGTTAATTTCCACAGCATAAATTAAGGTTTTAAAAGCTAGGCATCTAGGCCCAAGACACTGTGTTATGTACACAAAACTTTAGTTTCCCGGTTTCCTTGGGCACTCTTAATGCCAAGTTTGAGCTTCCTTCAAAACTCCACTGTGCTAATTTATAAAATGTTCAAGAAATTAGATGTTATTTTATGTTCTTATTTCAGTCTTAAATGTTATTTATTTGCTTTTTATTATGTGATTTTTTTTTTTTAAGTTCAAACTGCAGCCTTTTCCTTTCTGTCCTCAATTTCTAGCCTCTGTGCTTCAGATGGGAAAGGTGAACAATTTGCAGTTTATATCATATAATGTGTTTTTTGGCAGAAAGAATCAGGGAGAAATAATAGCATGGCCTAATAGATGAAGACAGTGAATGATGGACTCGGCTGGGTTATGGGGTTCTTAAAACTGCTTCAGAACTTTCCCTGGTTCTTCTAACACTGACCAGTTATAGGAGAGGCAGATCCTCTGTGTGTCTGGATTTTTCCATTCTGAGATATATACATTGGTGAAAACGTTAGCGTTTAGCACGATGTGTGGTGGTGCAAACTATATGCACCCTCCTTTTCTAAGGTATAATATATATGGAGCTCAAGTTAAGTTTTTCAGCTTTTTTGGCTTGTTTTAACTTCTATTGTAAGCTCTTCCTGGTACAAGAAATGCCGTATTGCAGTAGAAATGGTTTATATTCAAAGCAGCTGCTCTTGGGACTGCATGCAGCTGTATGTTTTTTGGGGGTGGGAGTGTATATTCCTTTAAATATGAAACATATATTGGGGTGGAGGGAATGGAGAATACCACTTAGTTGTTTGTGCATGTTGTTATAAAATCTTTGTATGTCTGTATTGCTAGAAAGGGTGAGGAAACTGCAGCTTCTGCAGCTGTTATTCCCTTCATCTTTGTGCTCTCGTCCTTCCTTTCCTCCCCCTCTTGCTACAGTACACAAGACAACTCAATATTTGGAATTTACTTGGCCTTCCAGACTCTTAAGTTCAGCATAAAACTTTCTATTAAGTTCTGGTCCTTTCTTGGTTTGGATACTGCTACCTGCTTGTGCGTCTCCATGTGAATAAAAGACATGCAAAGCCTGAGACTGTGTACTTGGTAATGAAAATTACATTTGCAATCACTTTTCATATTGGGCAGCTTTTGCTGTTTTCCAAGGCATGTGAACTCTAAATGTGCAGCAAACTCCAGAAAACAAATGGATGTTGCTTGTGCAGAGGGAGAGCAATATGGATGCCAGAACTGTGGTACTGCATCAACAGAAGGTGTCCAGTGAGCTTGCCACTGCCTCGTGCCAGGAGGCGGGCAGGGCTCTGCACTGACTGGAAGGACAGTGCCAGTAAGGCTGTTCTTGACAACCCAGCTGGTTGAGTTCCCTCTGGGTAGCTGCAGACATCTCCAACTGTACAGAATGAGTGGTCGAAAAGAGCAGGTTAGTCTGATACCAGCCTTTCCCTAGGAGAAAATAAGTGGCTGCAAGACTGACAACCACAAAAATGCAACATGTTTTGTGCTGTGTTGTTAATGCCTCAGCACCTGAGGCCGAAATGATACATAGCTAACAGTTTAAAACTGCTAACTTTTCTGTAAGAAGGTAGCTGGGACTTCAGTATTTTACGGGGAAGCATTGTGAGTTATGGTGTTTCTAAGCCTCTCTGGAAGGAAAGATTGCGAACAGCGGGGAAAATAATTAGACTGTGAAGTCACTTCTGAATTAAGGAGACCAAGTTCCCTTCTGCAGCATACTCCAGTATCTACCACTGTATAAACTAGCTTTGCAAAAGCAGGCAGCAGAGAAATGCCTAACTTCAGAGTTAGCACACTGTTAAGCACAAGGCAAGCTCTATCTTCTCCGCCTGTAGAGTGCAAGCTGTTTTGCAAATACCATACCCTGGGAGCTGAGTATCTTATTCCAGGAAAACTAGGTTTTCTTTGGGTTTTCTGAAATTTGCTTTAGAGTAAGTGCTAGATTTGGTTTCATCAGAAGAAACAGGTGACAGAGGATGATTATGCTCCAATTTAAAATTAACACAGATTGTTATTTATATGACTTGAAACTAGAACTTCATGCCTAAATTATTAAAACTGTACTATCAAGTGAAATCAGTATTATGAAAAATAACAGTAGTTTTGATACCTGCTTTACTGTGGACCTCAAAATAATCTGATCTTGTACTAAATTTATTACTGATGTAGTGTCTACATAGGTATGCTGGCTCATACCCCAGAACTGTTCCTGGTATTAACAACTCGGGTTTGATACACTTTCCTTTTTTAAGAAAAAAGAAAACTTTTACCTTGATAGCAGTACTGCTCATTGAAAAGACATCTGCGTTCTGTAAATGACTAGACTGAACACATGGGGGAGAAAACAGTACAGCTCTTTAGCTTCAAGAGCTGTTTGAGAAGAGGCATGCTTTTGAATGCTGAAATAAAGAACAAAGATGAAAATGTAAGATGTATGATATGTAATGCCTGGTGGGATGTTACAGTTGTTGTCAGAATGGGGCATAGATACTATTCAAGTAGTGTGCTGATAACAGTAGCTATCTAGCTTATTATGACGTTTTCTGAAACTCATTAAATACCTTATAACATGATGAAAAGCAGGCTATTAGATTTTTTTTAGCAGAAAGCAGGACAAATTGAGAATGGAATAAGTAATATTTGATCAAATGAATGCACAAAAAGAAACCATTACATTAGTAAACCAAGGAACTAATACTAGAATGAGAAAATATGGTGATTTTTTTGTCTTAATGAGGAGAAGAAAGTGAGACCCTTGACTGAGTGTTTGTAACTTAGTGATGAGCTAAGGAGGTGGGCAAGGACTGGAACATCTGTAGTTACTCTCAGTAATGGTCTTGCCTAGCTTAGTGCTGGTGTTATGCACCACAAAACACAGCCTCTGCTATTCCTAAGCACCTGCATGTTCTGCTCCAGCGCAGCAACATTGCATTGGCTAAAGACAAATTACCATGGTTACTCCTTGCAGTAATCTTTAAATGATCCAGAACTGTTTTGCGAGGGGAATGAACCTTTTATAGTCCTCTGGTACATAACAAAGCTGATGCACAGTGGCAGAAAATACTGTTGTGAATATACACAAACTCGGAAAACACTGTTTCAAAATACACTTATGCTAAAACATTTTATTGGCAGTTGTAGGACTTCTGCGTGGTGACTTGGCTGAGATGCATGAGGAAGGTAATACCTAGCTATTGCTGTGTGCTAAGTAAGACTTGCAGTGTGTGCTGTAAAGCTGCTTCTTAGGTTAAACCTCTTCTATAGGACTCCATCTGTGGAGGGAGAGGCAGAGGATGTATTCCTAGGCTCTAGCAGTCCAGCACATCCAATTATGCACTGTAAGACAAATGTGTCTTGGTTAAACTATGAAGGTATCTCTGTGACTACAGTATTGACACTCTACAAACAGAAGTGAACATGTAAACAGCATTAAATCTAGGTATCTTCACTGAATACTATTTATTTTTCCTTTCCCCACCCCAGGTTAGACGTATAATGAAGATCTTTGAACCAGCGGATATACAAACTTGCTAAAGATGTCTGTTCCAAGCCAACACCATTCTATTATTATTAACCCTCCCCCGCCAGAATATATAAATAACAACAGTAGTGGTTGTCAAACAAACCAACTTCAGTACTTACAGAGGGTGGTCATGAAAGCCATGTGGAGACACAACTTTTCCTGGCCGTTTCACCAGCCTGTAGATGCAGCAGCACTGAATCTTCCTGTAAGAACCATTTTGGAATTGGAGTATCAGTATATAAAGTATTACAGGACTTATGAATTGATGTTAGTTTAAAAGAGTTTTTTTCTGATGCAACAGATCATGGAAGGCTACTTTTGTATATGAAGTGCTTTCATTAATCCAAGTCTGCAAGAAAACTGTGGGTTTTTTCTGGTTCATGCTAAATACTGCATCTTTGTTCATTTGCTTTCTGATCTGAGACTGTAGTAAATCAATATTTCTAAGAGATAATAAGAATGCTTAGACAGGCCTCTTGGAGTTTCTGGATGTTGGTATTCTGTCTTGTCTTCTTTCCCCCTCCCTGCTGGTTTAGCCATATCTCTTAACACAGCATATGATGAGTATTTTCTGTTGTCTTTGAGATTTTTATTTTCAATAGGAGGCAGCTAGCCTCTTTCAATGTCAAATACTTTATGATGGGAAAGCAGACCTGATTGACCCTAAAGTCAATAGGCAAATCTGGACCCAGTTTGGTGCATAGAAGTAATTATACTTGTAGTACTTCTTAATTTCAAATCAACTTTGGCATCTTGCTCTGAAGTTTCTAGAGGAATTAAATATCCCTGCAAAAATAGGGAAGAGAGAGATGTGGTATTCTCATCATACCACAGTGGTAGAATATTCTAGGAAATAGAAGGTCTTGATGCTTAAATTCTTGTCCTGTATTGCCTGGTGGGTTTTATTTACATTACAATTTAATTGCAACAAAGTGAATTAATATCATGTCTTGTGACAAATTGTTTTAATTCAGGTATCTTTAGCCTCCAGTTTTGGTTCACCCCCAGCTTTTTCAGTCAAATGAAAACATTGCTTATTCACACAGTGGTATTTCAAATGACCTGGAAGATACTGCTCTTGGTAGAGAAGTAGAAAGGTGTTAAATAAAACCATGGTACATTTCCTTTTTTTTTTCTTTCTTTCTCCTCCAGCTTAAGCAATTTTATTTAGTTCTCTCAAATTGAGAGACTAATTCTACAAAATCATTGGTTCTGTTCAGAGCAGACAAAAGCCTTTATCTGCAACTGTTTCTCATGACAAACTCATTTTGTCAGTTTGTCCAAAAGCACAGACGAAGTGACTATCTTTCTGTGTCTTTTCTTACCCTTTTTCCTTCTTGGAAGGAACTGTCACTTAAGGTTAATATTAAGGGTCATTCAATCAGAGTTGCAAACATTTGCAGCTGGCCTTAGGCCAGTTCTGCCTCTCTGGATTTCGAAGGCAGCCACTTGACTTTCTAAAAGTATATATTAGTTCAACCACTACACAACAACAAGCAAACCTCTGGCTCCATGGCAAAGACAATTAAGGCATTTGCCTCCTTTGCCCCTCTCCTCCATGTGTTAGAAGATGCAGAATGGACAATATTTAATTATTAGCTGTGTTATTTAAAAGTTTTCTTGGTTTTGTTTTGGTAAATTCAACAGTCTGCATTTAGCTTTTTTTTATTTCACTGAAACAGTTTGTTAGCACAGCTTTAGAAGACTCTTGAAGTAGTAGTAACTTCACCCAATTACGATGTATATGTGAATTTGGTGGGGATATTCTTGTTTGGATTTCTTAAATGTGCCAGCAGGGAATTAGCCTCATGCTCTTAATCATAAGGTTTTAGCCATGCTACTGAAATAATCACAATAGTTCACATTCCAGCTGCCTTTCAGTCATTGCCACATCTTCACTAGACTAACCCTGAGAGGAGAGGCAATATAGTCCAGGGGATGAAGTGTTTGATCAGCTACTGTGAAAACTCAGCGGCTTCTTTTTGTCAGTGACTGAGTCTTTGTCAAAGTCTGTCTTCGGCTTCTTTTCCCCCTGTTCTGTAAACTGGAGTGCTACTTAAAGTAAATGGCTTTGAGATAACAAATGAGAAGTACGTATACTTTTCATAAGTACTGCTACTACCAGTATAGCTTTGGATCCTATTGAAATCAATATTCTTTGGGGCTTTGAATGGTGGATCTTATATAAAAGAGCAAGAAGAAAATATGAGGTGAAGAGGTCCTGAACACTTACTTCTGTGGTACCTACGATTATAGTTTTCCTTTAAATAAAATATTCATTCTAACATAAATTGCAAGAGAGGAGAATTGCATTAACTTTCATAACTTGATGTGTCAGAATCTTCATGTCCTAATATTAAAGATATCTGTTGTGTGACCAACTCTTTCAAAACCACAGGATTATTACAGTATTATAAAGAAACCTATGGACTTGAGCACCATTAAAAAGCGTCTGGAACACAATTACTACACAAAAGCTGCAGAATGCATTGAAGACTTTAAAACTATGTTCTTGAACTGCTACATATATAACAAGGTATGTGAAACGCAACCTCTTACCAGTAACCAATTCTATTGAACAATACAAACAAGTTTAAAACAATCAAATAGTTATTAAAGCCTGCACTAAATCAATGTCTTCATGATTTTTTTTGAACTATTTTCTCTGAAAGGTGGGAGGGATTTGTTGCTAGGCTTGACTGAGGGCATGTAAGGGATGTCTAGCCTGCTGTTACAACTAAGTGCATAGTCTTTTCTGCACAAGGATTCCACCTGCAAAACCTCTGGGTTTTAGTTGCAGAGCCCATGAACAGCAAGCACTATGTAACTTCTGTACAAGTTTAAGGCTAGCAACCTTGGCTTGGGTTTAAGGCTAGCCATGCTCTGCTCCTCCAACAAGTTTAACCAACCTAACTTGAAGTATGAGCGTCTCCCTGTGCTTGGATGTTTGTTGGCTCTGTCTTCATACCTTTAAGCTTCAACAGCTTTCTTCAGAACATAGGAATGAATAAAGAGTTACAGATCTACCCCCTTTTCCCTTTGCTGTGGGAAGTACGTGGATATAAAACAAGTAGGACTGTGCAATGGGACAGTGGGAGAAAGAGTATTTCAATAAAGAAGCAACTTGTATTAAAGTGAGTTGGGGGGGGGCAGGGATCGCAAGGACTTGTAGATCCCTCTGGTACTGGTGGCTTCTTTAAATCTATTGGTGTAGGATGCTGTAGACTGTTTATTTTAGAAGGTAGCCCTCCATTACTGCAGCCTCTCCTTTACTCTGAATGTTACTGACTCTATTTTGCAGCCAGGTGATGACATTGTGTTTATGGCCCAAGAACTAGAAAAAGTATTTATGCAGAAAATAGCCCAAATGCCACCAGAAGAAAAATTAGTGATTCTCAACAAAGGAAAGAGAAAAGGAAAGAAGCCAGAAGGTAAGGCCTGTATTATGTGTTGAATTGTCAATATATTAAACAAGCAAAAGCTGGAAACAAGGAATCCTCTGTAGCTTGTCACAAGTCAACCCTGGAGCAGTCAGTGTTCTCCACTCTTCCCAGAACATATCAGACAAATAACAACACTGCTATAAGGCTTTAGCAGATTCAGCGCAACCATAATATTTTCATAGGTACTAGCTAAATTTCCTGTTTTCTACTAATGAAGTGTGTTTAAGACAAGGTAAAAATCAGAATTAACAACTTCATCAGTAGTGTGATAGCATAGCTTCACATGCAAACTTCCAGTAAAATGCAGTGCTCTTGCCCACAAAAAGGATGATTCGGTCAAGACATCTCAAACTTTTGAGGAAATTGCGTAGGAATTGCTTGAAGCAACATTGGGAAGCCTAATTGCAAGTGGCCAGGTGATTAGCTGCAACTTATTACTCATCACTGAGTTCCTATGTCTTTTTAATTGCTCTTACAACCTGTTTCACTTGTACAAAGTACTCGTTTCTACATCTAAGCTCTCAACATTGCCAAAGAACAAATATTTATATTGATAGAACTAAGACTATATAGTGCCTGGAATCACATGTGCATCTCAATGGGTTAACTTGGAGACCTCCAAGGTAGTATTCTAAATTGGCCTGGAGGTACTGCTGTCAGTTGTTGGGGAAATCTTAGCTGTGTTTTGAAAGAGCTGCAACAGTTCTTTACCCTGATACCTGTTAATTATTTGCCTTCTGACAGCCATAGAGCAGTGATGATCTTGGCTAGCTCAGTTCTTACTGGGTCACTTAACAGATGCTCTTGATGCAACTATGCAGCTCTTCAGGGTCTCCTGATGAATTAATTTGCTTCATGTTACTGCTGTTTGTGGTGCAGTGGTCCTTGTTGCTGGTAGTATATGAAACAAGTATTTCTTCAAAATAGTATTACAGTTTGATAGATCTCTGTAGCTTTGTCCTCAAGGTATGTTTGAGGAGCAACATTACCTTTCAGTGATCTGGTAGACAGATATGGAAAAACAGTGGGTTTCTTGGCCCTTTCAAGAATTTTTAGGGGGTTAGGAGGAAGAGCCTACTCGGCTGCCTTCCTGCTCTTACTAGCTTATTTGAGTAAAATCTCAAGCAATTCATTGCCTTGGCAGAATATCTTGATTGAACAGGTAGAAGTGACTCCCAGAAAAGATTTCTGTTGAGAAATGTGTTGGAAGCTGAGTTAGCTTTTTGGTTCTCAAATGATTGCAACAATTTATTGAGATGCTTTCATAACACTATCTTGCTGGTATTAATGCTGTTTAAGTCCCCTCATTCCTTTTGCACGCACAAACATGCAGCTTGTACAAATTTTGAAATGTTCTAAGCACTTCTTCAATTGGATAGTAGAGCACACTGCTATGATCAAGGAAATATTTCTGTCCTGTCTTTGCAGACTTTGGCTCTAGAGACAGACCTATACACACAGCTTATTTCCCTTTAAAAAAAAAAAAAAGCAACTGACTTCCATTTCGGAGAATGTTATGGTGTTTCTCAGTGTTGTGTTATATAAACGAATAGGTGTGAACATTTGTGGGAACTAAACAATCACACAGCTTGAAAAGACATTACTAATCTAACTAGCCAAATCAAATGCAGAAAAACATTGGTCTAAACTGTCCTCAAATCAGCGATGGAGATCTGTAATATGGCTAAGCAATATATGCAGGTCTTAACTATGCTTATGAAACTTGAACTTTCCTGATACAGTTTGATGCACCCTTTGCTGCTTGGTCTTTGTTGTCCTGGTTTTGGCTGGGATAGAGTTAATTTGCTTTCTATTAGCTGGTATGGTGTTATGTTTTGGATTCAGTATGAGAAGAATGTTGATAACACACTGATGTTCCTCAGTTGTTGCTAAGTGTTGTTTAGACTAAGTCAAGGATTTTTCAGTTTCTCATGCCCAGCCAGTAGGAAGGCTGGAGGGGCACAAGAAGTTGGGAGGGGACACAGCCAGGACAGCTGACCCAAACTGGCCAAAGGGGTATTCCATACCATGTGATGTCATGCCAAATATATAAACTGGGAGGAGTTGGCCTGGGGGGGATCACTGCTTGGGAACTAACTGGGCATTGGCTGGCGAGTGGTGAGCAACTACATTGTGCATCACTTGTTTTGTATATTCCAATCCTTTTATTATTGTAATTTTTTTTATTATTATCATCATTATTACTTTCTTCCTTTTTGTCCTATTAAACTGTTCTTATATCAACCCACAAGTTTTATTTCTCCCCCTGCCCCCCCCACCCCGATTCTCTCCCCTATCCTACTGGGTGGGGGGGAAGTGAGTGAGTGACTGCATGGTGCTTGGTTGCTGGCTGGGGTTAAACCACGACGATGCGTATGTAGAAAACAATTTGATTCTCTTGGCAAGAACATTTTTACAATGTACAGATTTTAGTGTGATGTCTCTTTAATCTTCCCCCTGAGGTTAATCCACAGCTTAGTTGAAACCAAATATGCACAACTTGGTACAATATTCTAGCTGAGGTACTAATGGTGCTGAGTAGAGGAAGATACTAATATTGCTGTATGTAACACTGCTCATTTGTATTTATTTGTATAGTTTTGGTGTGGAAGAGTGGTTCTGTTGACAACTGCTCCATTTGATCATGAAAGAAATTACCTGCAACATTTAAGACCTAACTTTAAAACTTTGTTTTAAAATAACCAGAAACACAGCAATCCAACCCTGGGACTTCAAACGAACAAAGTGCAATGCAGAAACAAGCTGAAAGCAATGAGCAGCCTCCAGTGATGACTCAAGAGCTACAGCAGGTTACACTAGCTCCTTTGTCTGCAGCTCAGCTGACTGCTTTAATGCCAGCTGCAGTCCGTATAACAAAAGTAAGTTTCCTCAAATAACTTTCAGAAAGAAAGGTATTGAAATTGCTCCTTCAGGCAGTAATAGCAAAGCCACAGGAGCTATGCTTATTGCAGTATCTTCTCAAAATTTCTATTGTGTTAGAAGTTAGTAAGAGATCTCTATTAAATCTTCTAGGTCTCTGCTAAATAACTGGGACAGTATTAATTCTAGAAACTAAGCAGAAGTTGGGATGACTGCTTGGCACATCTTTTCTTATAAATGTGGTTTTAAAAATGTTGTTCTCAAAGAAACAAAGTGAACTTTAAGATGGTCATTCTTGAAGCATACTACTATACTTCTACAAGCTTCACCTTGATGTAGAAACTGTTCTTTTCTTGAGGTGTAGATAATGGTTTTAGTATTAAAATAAAGCTCTTTCTAAGTCTGCTTAATAACTTCTCATGGTTTTCAACATAAATCAAATGCTTGATTTCCCAAAAATAGCATGTTTGCTTAAATGCTGTGTAACTAGCCTGGAAGGTGTTTGTAGCTCACAAAAGCAAATTCTTGTTAACTGTAATCTGAATTGTATGTGAACATCAGACATTTTCATCAGATAAACACTCTTGTATTGACTTAGTTTTGGTTTTGCTCTTCCAATGAGGAGTAGGGACGTGTGCCAGGCTCTCCTACAGTGTATATTTACACTTTACTGAGAAGTCTGAACAGTGATGACAAAGTGCAAGTTGTACCACTTCCAAACCAAATACCACCCAGGTTAAAGAAAAATAGAGATAAACCTTGTACATAAAGCCCTCAACTAGGCTTAAAATGAATTGCAGTAATGTTTCCCCTTCCAATGGCAGTCATCCTGTGGTAACTTCATAACCTACCAGCTTCTTGGAGTCTTCTCAATTGGCTACAAACTGACCACAACCTGACCTGCAGGTACACCCTGTTCTTTCCTTTACATCTAAGATTGTGTTTGGCGTGATGATCTTGTAATGCCATGTAGGTTTTCAGTCTAAACTTGAGGAAGTGCCACATTCTGCTCTCACTTCAGTAGCTGTAAAAGTTCTGACACTTGTGTGTAGTCTGAAATCTGACCTTTCTCTCACTGTGTTTTAGACTGTAAATACACCTGTATTTTAGACTGTAAAATTTTCTTTTCCTAGGCAAAAAAAGGTGTGAAAAGGAAGGCTGACACTACAACTCCTACTACTTCAATATTCACAGCAAGCAGTGAAGCTTCTACAACATTTAATGAAAGAAAAGCTGTTAAAGCATACAAAGGTGAAAATAAATGTATGATACCAAATAAACTTCAGAAGAGACGCTTGCCAGATTCTCAGCAGTCACCTGAAATTCTTAAAAAGATTCAGTTGCCAGAACAACTAAAACATTGTAATGAAATACTTAAAGAAATGTTTTCAAAGAAACATGCAGCGTATGCATGGCCTTTCTTAAAATCTGATGTTGCATCTTTCTCACTTGGTGAGAACCAAGGGATCACCAAACATCCTACAGACCTGGGAACCATTAAAGTAAGTAGGTTTCAGACAGAATTGGACTACTTGTGTGCTTGCTTGAATAACTTGTGTAATGACTGGATTTTAATAGTGTTAGCTGAAAAGGTGTCATGAAAGCTGCTTCTCCTTTGAAAGAAATAATGGGCATAGAAACCATATACATTTACCTCTCAACAAACTAAGCCACAGCTCACTGAAGAAAGTTTTCTAAGTCTCGTTGTGACTATGTGTGTAGTGGCTAATCTACTTATCTGTTGAACAAGCTAATGTAAGTAGCAAGGGAATTACCATCTTCATGAAGCACTTCCAAGCAGGCTGCATATTATGTATCTTTCAGTCTGTATACACAATGCTGTTGCTAATGCTCTATAAAACAAAATACAATTCTGTAACGTCAACTTCTGCTTCTCTCTGAATCTCATTATCCTTGCTGAAGTGCCCTGGAACATCAACACTGGATATTTATGTGACACCTTTCAGATTTTCTGTGAAAATGAACGCTTCTAGATGGAGTTATGTGGCCAGTGCTTTGTGAACACAAGGCACATCTGTCTGAGGTTGAAGTATTTAGCCATGTTAAGATCCACCTTTTGTGGGGAGGGTTGAATTTCAATAGTCTATTGAATTATGTTGAAAACTGGCTTGCACAATATAATTGTTATTTCCCAATTTCTAGCCCATTACTTTGACTCAAACAATTATGGAATAGGCTTTGTATAAATACCATGCTTAGCATCAAAAACAAGTGCTGAGTACATGCCCAAATAAAGTCACCTGAACATTGTTGTCTGGACCTAGTGCTGAAACTAGTACTACAAAGTCCTTGGAGCAATTACAGCTAGCAAGTCTTTTTACAAGACGAATTCTCTTACTTTGTTAAAGGGACAATGCTGAAATGAGAAGCAGGTCTTTCCATAAAGGTTCTTACAATATTTATTGTCTTGATACAAGCTGAACCTTATACCGGATGTCAAAATTCTTGTTCCTCCTCTTTCTGCCAGTTCATGGTGATGTTCTCTCTCTACCTTTAAGCTCTAAACGTGTGTTAACTTTCTTTTCCTCTAGAAGAAAATGGATAATTTTGAATATAGTGATATACAAGAATTTGCTACTGATGTTAGATTAATGTTCATGAGCTGCTACAAACGTAATTCTCCAGACCATGAAATAGTTGCTATGGCGAGAAAACTTCAGGTGAGTTATCACTTAAGTCAGATTTGAAAAAGAGTAGGACTATGAGATTCCTTTGCAGTAATATCATACCCTGATGTAGCATCTACTAATGTTACCAACTACTGTGTTGCTGTGTAGCTCTAGAAAACAAGCAGCAACTTCATAATGCTTTTAGAAATCTGAAAAACATGCTGATCTCTCTGGTGTTCCCAAACCTAACTCTTTAGGATGTTTTTGAGACGCACTTTGCCAAAGTTCCCGATGAAGCTGTTGCAAGCGTTCCTTTGCCACAGCCTACAAGAGAAATGACAGAAGCTTATTCCAGTGAGAGCAGTAATGATGACTCTTCAGAAGAAAAACCATTCGAAGACTCTGAACAAGAGAGAACAGTGCACCTTGCAAAGCTTCAGGAGCAAGTAAGCATTAGTAGTCAATGTGCATGACTTTTATAATGTCTCTGATAGTGCCACTAAGGCTTAGTACCAAGAATCAGTATTTAAAAGATTCTGTAGTCATTTGCTTTTCTTAATACAGAACTTCATTCCTGTTTGGAAGCACCTGAATAGTGCCTTAGCAAACAAATATGAACTGGTTTTAGTGAATCATTGCTTTAGTACTCTTGCCTACCATTTTTTCCTCAAACTTTTAAAAAATAAAACTGTGTTGCTGTGGTATGATGAGAACATTCAAATACTCTACACATAGCTTAGTGGCATATTCTTCTAACAATGGCATTTCCTTCAAATGGTTAAAGAGCTCTGTTCTTATGCTCAGTCTCTTTTGAGCCACACCAAAGCAAGTCATTAAATTCTACTTCAGAAAGCTCAGTATGAAGTAAAATTGAAGGACTCTCATGCTAATGTGAAGCATGGCTTTGCTTCACTGGTTAAGAGTGGAATGGGTCTTGCTTTTTCTTGAACATAATGCTTTAACCTGCTGCTGCTATATTCATAAACTGTGGGGAAAATTACCATTTGTTCTGCTAGTCAAATGAGGGACAGTTTAGTTTTCAGTATTTGTCAGAGTAGCATCTACAACCTCAATTTATGAATACAGGCATGAGGACAACTGAAAGTCTACAAGAAAGCCTTTGCAATAGTGAAGTATTTCAGTGTGTCTGAATTCTAATTCTCATCATCTGTCCATCTTCCTTCTAATTCCTATGAGGTTTAAACAGATTTACACTAGGTCTTTCTCTGAAGCTGTTAGTACTTCCCAACTAGCCATTTTATATCGCAAAATATCTGGGGTTTATGCGTTGAAGATGCACAAGCCCAGTCCCACTAGCCTAATTCAATAATGCTGTAGAGGTCTAACCTAATAAGGCACTTAAGTGCTTCCCACATGCTTGAAATTAGAGAGGCTGCTGGATACTCCCACAGTGATTTTTTTTTTTTTTTTTTTTAATTCTTCACAGGATGCTAGAAGACATATGCTGTTAGAAATGCCTACATAAAATAAGTAGCCTTACATCTTCTATATCTATAGGCAGTGACTAATCTATAATATAGTAAGATGCTTGGAAAATAAACCTCATTTGGAAAGCAAACTTCCTATTAATATCCACTCAGCTGCTACAAATCTCCTGTGATATTTAAGACCAGTTTATTGTTCCTCCTACACTGCCTAAGATTATCAGATTTTTTTTTTTTTTTTTTTTTTTGCTTTTGATAGCTTAAAGCAGTTCACCAGCAGTTGCGGGCTTTGACAAGAGCATACTTACCTAGACTGAAAAAGAAAAAAGAGAAGGCTAAAAGGGAGAAAAGTAAAAACAAGGAAAAAGCTAAAATAAAAAGCCTGATTCAAAAGAAGAAAAATCTAAAACACAAGAAGAAATCTAAGAAAAAGCTGTCTTTAAACATGTAAGTGTGGGGGACTTGTGTGGGTGTCAAATTATTTTAAAGTGCTGTCACTGCAGTATACTTTTTTTCTTGCAGTCAGTCAAAGAAAACCATGCAGCAGGTCTTGTTGGCACATAAATCAGAAGATGAAGATGGTGCCAAACCTATGAATTATGATGAAAAACGACAGTTGAGTTTGGACATAAATAGGCTCCCTGGAGATAAGCTTGGGAAGGTAGTCCATATAATACAGTCAAGAGAACCTTCACTGAGGAACTCTAACCCTGATGAGATTGAAATAGACTTTGAAACTTTAAAGGCTTCAACACTCAGAGAACTAGAAAAGTATGTGGCAACCTGTTTGAGGAAGAGACCAAGAAAGCAGCGGGGTATGTAGCATAAATGATGCTTTAAAAAAAAAAAAAAAAGATAACCACAAAACAAAAACTAGATTTGTTTTCTGGTTTGCTGCAATGTTAACTTCTGTTTCACATGCAGCTGAAAAAACAACAAAGTCAAAAGAACAACCTAATTCTGAGAGGAAACAAGAGCTAGAGAAGAGACTACTGGATGTCAATGGTCAACTGAACCCAAAGAAGGAGAACTTCAAGTGTAATGTTACTCTTACTTTTATTCATTTGCAACAGAAATAGCTTAAAGTGGCATTCTCCACTTGGACTTATGTACTGTTAGACAGCTGGGGACTTTCTCCTCAGAACAGTTGAGGTCTTAAGCTTCCCATTGCTGGTCTTAAGATTCTTCCTATGTTGAGTGAGCTGGAGTTACAGCAGTAAATTTGATCAGTTACTTGTCCTGTCTAAAACAACTTCCTTATTCTTCACCTAATCCTTTATTACAGGTAAAGATGATAACAGCTTCAGAGCTTAAGGGACACTGAACACCTTCCTTACACTGACATGAAAACATGGTGGGGAGGAGTGTCCCACAGTCTATGTATTTTTTTGAAATTCACTTTTTGTGTCTTAGATTCAAGAATAACAAAATCTAATTATACTTCTTATATTACAGCCTCACTAATATTGTCACACTAGCAAAAATTCTGCATCAGTGACAGGTGTGCTGTGTTGTTCCTAGGCTTAAAGAAGTGCCCTAGGAGAACTAATTCAGTTTTTCAGGCAATAATGTGTTTCAATATCAAAGCCAGAAATTCAGTACATACTTGAGCATATCTACACTTACCAGTGTCAGGGACTGAGAACAGATCAATGCAGCTGATGCAACCAGTAAGTTTGAGTTGTTCCTCATTAAACTAGTGAGTGCTATTATTGCCCTCTATTGGATATCTATATCTATTAAGCAGTTATAAAACCAGTTAGCTGAAATGATAGAAGCAGCCCTGCAAGACACAGGCTTGCATCCAGCATTAGTTCAGCCAACAGTCTTCCTGTCTGGTATACATGATGGCTTGAAACCATCCTAGAAAGAAAAGCTTAAAGAAGCAGCTGAAATCAGTTGTGAAGGATATGTTGCAGGGAGAGGTAGGAGGCAGGCCAGGGAATCTTTAAAACTGGCATCTGGCTTGTTTACAAGGAAGGGCTTAAGCTGGCCCGTAAAGACTTGTGTCCAGGGAAACGGGTATCCATGTAGCTTCTCATTTTCAAAGCTTCTATCAGAGCAACACACTTTGAAAAAGCTTTTTGACTGCAAAATCACTAGAAACAGAGTTAAATCAACCCTGCAGATGCAAAATAGTCAGATGGTGGGGAGGTGGTAAAAGATGACAATTTTGGCTTGGGAAAGAGGAGAGTTGGCTATAGACAAAGACCTCAGCATGCAAGTCTCTCAGCAGCAGCAAGCACAGAAACAGGCTCTTAACTGTGGGAAAATTTATGGGGGAAAATTGGTTGAATTGTGTTTTAAGACAGCACAGTTTTAACCTACTTTAGGGTTGTAAGCTGTGTGATTACAGCTCCTCCTTGGCTATTTCATTCATTCAGCTAGCTTGCTGCTGGTAAATGTTCCTCTATAAAAGTCTCAAATCCACTGCTAAATGGATAGGGGACAAGGAAATGGCAGAAGATCAACTGTTATGTGGGAGAATAGACCTAACAAGGTTGATCCTAGTCTTGTATGCAAAGACTGCTCCACTGCAGGTTGTTCTAAACTCTTTCTTTTTCTCCTGCAGTTGAGAACAACGCTGAGTCCAGTATGGGACCAAGCAGACTAAGCGACAGCAGTAACAGCAGCAGCTCCTTAGACTCTGGCAGCAGTACTAGCAGTGGTTCTGGTTCTAGCTCCTCAGATAGCAGTGACGCTGAATCAGGTCAGAAAGCTTTATTTTGTGTTTGTGTAGGCAAAACATCTGCCTTCTCAGTTAGCATCTACTGTTCCACATGCTTACTAAGGATTTCAGTTACCTCTGTAGGTTTGCTCCATGTTGAAGGCTCAATTCCAGTGCTATTAAATGTCTTAATGCTGAGTTTGTAGGTTAAAAAAAAAAAAACAAAACAAAAAACAAACAAACACTACAACATCCACTCGACTTATCAGTGAAAAACTCCAGGGACCAAAATCAGCTAGCAAGAGGTCTGTGTGTCTAACCTGGAGACTTGACTATTAGGCTATAGCTTACTCCTGTGGTTTCGATTCCTTTTTGAAAGTGTGATTTACTTTATTTTCATCTTCTGGTCTGCAGCATGAAGGGTGCCTTACCTTGTGGGTAAGGCTTAGTCCGTAAGCTGAGGGACCAAAGCGCCAACAGCATTGACTGTAGAGCCAAAGTCCACCATGCTGCTTAAGCTGTCCCAAGCTTGTTCAAGGAACAAGCTGCAGCATCAGGATATCAGAATGTTGTTTCTCTTCGTAGACAGAACTCTTTAGTTTTCTAGGACAGAATAGATCTGCCAAACTGGAGGTGTACAATGTAGATCTCTGTGTGAAGTAATGGTGTAAGGTGAGATGAGTGCTCAACCCTCTGCAGTGTGGGGAAGCAAACACAGTGAAGTTATTGATGGTAGCAAAGGCCTTGATCCTGCAGTAATCTTTGTGGTCTCTTTTTATATCTGGGAGAAGCTTTCTAAACATATCAAGCTGAAGTTAAAGTATTCAAGATAAGAATGTTCCTTTCACTGTGAGGTTTGGCTCTCTACATAAAACTGCAACTCACATCTTGTATGTGTGAATAATGAAACATATGCGAATGACTCTTTTTTTTTTTTTTTTCTTTTTTCCCCCTCTCCTCTATCCCCCTCTTTCTGCCCACCTCGCTGTATTTACAGTTACAGAAACTTGCTCAAAACAGACTGGAGCCATGCAGAACTGTCCAACTTCTATGGAAAAGCCTAAGGTAAACTGATTGGAATGGATACAACATTTTTGCCCTAAAGTTATTTGTTACATACAATGGTACTGGAAATGACACAGTTTTATCAGGAAATAATGAATACGGCTTGAATGCTACTTGTTTTGTAGGATTGATTTACATGGAGATGTAAAATCTGCTGTTTGTTAAGAGTAGCTTATGTATCTGTATAGAAACTGATGTACTGGGAGAACTCCTTAGGCTTTTACCTCTTAAAATCATTGTGAAAATTCCATGTTGGGTGGAGGAGAAAGGAAAAGAGGGGAAGAATGCTCCACACACCCCACCCCTCTACCCCACCCACCCCCAAAAAAGGAAAATTCTCTCCAACTTGATCTCAGAGTATAGAATTGACCTAATAAACAGTGTGTACCCCACTTAAATATTTTTTATCTATGAATAACCTCACTTCTACACCTGAAAATAAATAAATTGTACAATATACTAGTCATTTTTGGGGTATTTTATATTACTTATTACTATGGTATTACTATGAGAAACAGCAGTTTTTATGTAGAAATAATTTTTAATGCCTCCAAGACTGAATTGCTCTATTCCTGTATATACAGTGGGTGTTAATTTTTGTCAGGGTTAGGACCCTTTCACAATTTCCCTTGAAGCTACCAGAGATAGAGACCTTGCATTTCAAATCAAGATCACAGCAAAGCCTTCATTCTTCTTACAATAGACTAGCTTTCACTTAAAGTGCTTAGCTGGATACAGGAAACCAGGCTGCAAACTTATTCAGCTGCTCCTTCTGCATCTTCATAAGCAAAGACTGAGGGGAGGAATTATGCAACACCCTTTTGTTTGTTTAAAATGTGCAGCCTCTGCAGTGACAGAATGACAGCAATAAACTTGAGAAAACAGGATATGGGAATTAAGCTTCGGCTTGGTTATAACAGCCCCAACCGACTTTCTGAGTAGCAGCAAACATCATACTTCAAATCCTCACATTACATTTTGTTCTTATGGGTCTTCTGTATCTGTCAGACCAAGGCAGTCCACTTTACCTCATGTGTTTTTGTCATCTAAACTCTCAGAAAATGCTAGGCTAGTATTGCAATACAAGGGGGTAGGGGATCAAACAGCTATAAAAATTAAGATTTGGCTGTATTAACTACGGCAATCTATTTCTAGAGAATACCGCTGTGTTTACAGAGGACATCCTGCAATGCTGTTCTGCAAGCACAGCCCTCACCTCTTACTAGTAGCTTGCAAAATCGTGGATCATCTGAACTCCAGAAGCCACCTCCCAATGTACTGCAGAGGCTCCAGCCTTTACAGAATAGATCATTTAAACCACCAGAACAAAATGCCCCATCTCCCTCAGGTAACATCTTTATGGCAAAAATCATGGCTATATTTGACTGCTGAAGGAAGAGATGGCAGGACTAATGTTTGTATTGCCCAATAAGTTTATCTTGGGGTTTTGGAGGTTATCAAGTGGGTAATAGAAAAAGTTCTTGCAGAGTATGGATTATAAAGAGCATGATGTAAATACAAGTGTGGCAGCACTGAGGATTGGCTAGGATTTCAGATTACTGGGGCACTTGTGGTGGGGCAGAATAGTATTAAAACAGGAAGTATTCGTGCCTCCGTCTGATGAGATGGAAAATGATACCTTAATGAATCTAGGGTTACAGGAAGTGCTGAACACCTTAAGGCAGGAATTAGGTGCTTAAACCCATCACCACCACTCAAGTTCATGTTGGAAATCCCTATTAGCTGAATTTAAGGCTTAGTGCCATAGGCCCTCTGAATTGATTGCTGTTGTCTAGACATATCAAATATTAACTTGCTTAGAAACTTGATCCAAGCAGCTATTCTTTTCCCTCCCTCACTTCAAAAGGTCTAATAGCTTCAGACACTTCTGAGTTTTTGGTAAAAGACAACTTGAGCTGCTAGCTGATTAACTCAAATCAATTAAACACTAATTAAAAATTACTGTCTCAAATCATACAGCTAGGATACATATCTTCATATCCAGTTAGTCCACAGATCTAAACAGTGACCTAATTTTGAGATGTAGGACTGCACTTTGCATGTTAGGGGAAAACATACACTACTCCTTTCTCAGGTATAATCTCAGCTGTATCTGCTCTGCATGGTGCTCCAGACCAGCAAACTCCTCAGAGTACTCCAAGGACAAATCAGTCTTCTGTCAGCCAGTGCACACGTGCTTTTCCAGAGGTGAATACATGCTTCTCTCCAATGCATTAATTTCAAATAACTTGTTTAAAGCATGTTCTTATTCCTTTAAATAAGATTCCAGGCTTGAATTTGATGCAATGAAGGCCACCTAACTTTTGTTGCGAACCTTATCTAAAACCCCACTAACAAAGTGATTCTTATTCTTTAATAGGGTGTTAATTCATTGACTGTTGTCTGCAACACAAAACAAAAGAGTTTGGCTGATCAATGTATCAAGTTCATAATGTACTATACAGTTTACTTTATTTCTTTTTGGTGCTACAGCCTAAACTTAAGTAATTCTTGCACACTTCCAGGTTAAAAGCCCACCCTGTAAACCTACAGTTTCACAAAAGAAATGGGCAGCTTATATCATATATTCCTGTTTTCTAGAAGTATCAATCTCATAGGCTTAGTAATACTCTGAAGACTCTAGGGGCTATCCTGGAAAAGTGTGTTACTTTTTCTTCCTATTCCTAAAGCCATGGAAACTGCGGCTTTCAGGGTCAGAGATGAAGTTGTGAAATATTTAGTCACTGTTGATTTCTGTCTTGCTGTGTTCTTGGAGAGTATCCTGGTTAGAAGGGCCTCTGTGTTACAAAGGAAGCTATTCATGTGACTGCAGCAGCATGATCTCTTCCATCTTAAGATGTTTAACTATCTTTCTCAACATGGCTTCAAACATAGCTGCTTTAGCCAGGTTTTAATAACTTTTATTTTTTTAAATGGATAGAAATTACCTCTATGAGCACAAGAACGTGTTTTGCAAGAATGGAAGAAAAGCAACTCCCCCTTTCCCAGTTGCGTCCACTATCCAAGGCAGCAAGTAGCATATGTTATGAGACTCAGGTTTGTGCAACAGTTTCCCTTGTTCAAGGGGATTACTACACAATCTTGCACAGAGAAAAACTACCACTGAACTGAAGTAATACAGCTGCCCTTCACCCTGATCCATAAGCTAGAGTGAAGCAACTGGCTTTACAACAGTCAAAGCCAACTTCTATTATGTTGTACCATGTTAAGGGTTAAAGAACTTGTATCAGTTTCTCATACTCCACCCGCTCTATCACTTGGGATCTCTGAGCAGTTCGTGTGCTAAATTCAAAGTGTTAATGTAAGAACTTGCTTTGACTACCATAGTATGAATGAAATCTAATTCTGCCCTCGTGTTTACAGAAGCTAGAGCTGCAACAATTTACTGCTCTAAGCTTTTAAATCTTTAATCCTGTTGCTGTATAATAAAAATCTAAGTATTTAGCACTTCAGAATGTATTCTGAAGTCTAACTTGTCTTCTAGGTATCCAATGCAACTTCCCAGGTTGACAGTGCTGATTGGAGTAAACAAGCTGAGAAAACAATACCTCTAGACAAATCAAATAAACTTCAGAACAAGGCCAGTGAGAGAACTGCTGATTCAATATCCATAAGTCAAGGACAGAGTATGTATTGTCATAATAAAAACTGTAACCGATATCAGGGGTGCAAAGTTAAAAATGTATAAGAACCTGGTTTAAAGAAATAAAATGCTGAACACTTGTACGTTAATAAGTTTGCAGAATAATGGAGGGGGTGCAGTTTTCCCTTGCTCTTTCTTTTTCTTTTTGGTTTGCTGCTTTAAAAAAAAAAAAGTTAAATGAATGCTTGGTTCTTGTTCTGTGTTAAGATATCTAAACCATATGACTTTGATTTAAGAACTTGGCTTTCTGAATTTAGTACTAGGGATAAGTAACCCGGTCTTCCAGGAAATCTGAGAGAACCGATGCTCTGATCTGTCGAACTTCACTGGCCTTTAGCCTGTCTTCTACTGAAGCTTCATGGAGTTCTTTTCCCAGGGCACTTTGTGTGTATTTTGAGTTACCATCTCCAGCTCTTGGTGACAAGGATCTGACAGTAAAGCAATGTCAAACATGCCTTCACCATGGAACAAACTTGCAATTATTACAAGAACACAGGTTCTCTGAAAGCTGCATTCCATATAGAGATGCATCAGACTTCATACATATCTCAGATAAAGAATTCTGAACTGGACACTGAACATCTGTGCTGAGAGCCTAGTGTTACCAGACATGATCATTTTGGTTCCTCTGCTACTCTTTCCTCTCTAGACTATCTGTATAGGCTTGAACAGGGGAGGGAACAAGCTTCTGAAAACTTGATGAAAATAAAAGGCACAGCCTTATTACTGATGAACTCTTTAATTGTTGCCAAAGAATAACTCTGAGTTCTTGAGTTGTATTAAAGCAGCTCTAAAAATGGAGATTTAATTCTCCAAGATGTTTTACTCAGTATTTTCATGGTCTTAACACACCTATCCATATACCTACTGACCCCTTTTGTTTAGATTTGTAGCAGCTGGAGCTGGTACATGGGTTCCATGGATTCAGCTAATGATCTTCACTTATAAAGTGTTGAGACTGCCTAAAACTTGAATTCCTGTCCTGTATACTGCGTGACTGTAACTATCAAGATCCTGGTGTTATCTTAATATGTTAAAGGGCTGGGAAATCGAGCAGGAATAAATCAAGCTCACTGTTCTAATATTCATAGGAAAAAAGCATAGCCAAAATTTTTGAGAAAGCTTGCTCCCTTCCACACTTAATTGTTTACTGCTTAGTCTTTATTCCTCTTAAATTTCTATTCCTAATCCTCATTTAAGTTGTACTGTATCTATCTCTTCCCCTTTTTCAAGAGACAGTTGTGTGGACAGTTGTAGAGGACCTCCCATGTTTAATACAGGAACTATCCAGTAATGAGACTCTGCCTTTGAGTACACTTGAACTTCACCATTATGTTGCATAACAGAGCTTATAATGCTGTTATGTGAGTGTAGTTATCTGCCCCCTTCCATAATACAGTGGTGTTTAACTGTTCCTGCAATGATACATGCCCCAGCTGTGTTCAGTGTTGGTATCTTAGCCTTTCCGCTATTAACTCCTGTAGAAAACTAGGAGGTGGAGGGGGGGGGAAGACACGATTTTCGCTTTTGTTTTTTTTTGAACAACAAAAACTTTGCTAATCTGGAACTGTTGTAGGGCATGTAATCTATTGATAGAAAAGTGTAGAGAGTGCTCAGTACTGTATGTGTCTACTTAGATCAAACCAAGGAAACTCATTTTAGAATTGGATGTTTACAGCAACTTGTTGAATTTTGTAGAGAATCCCACAGTCTCAGGCATTTCTGTGAGGTTACTTACATCTTCAAAGCGAGTTCTTGACTTTAGGCTTGTGACACCTCCGATGGTATGGGTGTAGGCTTGGTGTATCGCTGAATTCAGTGGTGGCTTGCTAAGAATCTTAACTTACAAAACCAGTAACCACAAGTTTCCCTTCAGATTAAAAAGCAGTGTCTTTCAATGAGAGGTTCTGTGAAGGCTGGTATTGCTGCAAATAGCTCTAAAATGCACGTTTCAAAGCCCATGGCTGCAAATGCTTTTGATGCAGCCTCACGTTCCTGTGTTATATCTAGAGCTTTAAGACAGACATGACTATAAACTTAAATTCATCTTAAGTTTGCTTCAGGTAGATCTTCTTGGTGGGTATAACAGGTTGATCGAATTGATCTTAACAATGGGGTTAGACATTTCTGGGTATGTGAAACTCTTGCTTTTTTTGGGCGGTGGGGTGGGGGGTATTCAGTGCTCAAGACTGTCAAGTTTCTTATGTGAAAATTCAAGCTGCCTGTATGACAAAAAAATGATTGATGAAAGAAAGATGACTTGTATTGAGGGATATCTTAATACACTAGTTCTCTATTCTGGAGGAGAACAAGTCTCTGGTAACAGAATTTGTTCTAGGTAGACTTTGCTTAACTGGACCTGGAATCCACAAGAATGGAAATATCAGGATTTGGAACACTCTTCAATTGTACTTGAGAGACTTCAGAGATCTTTATTTTATTCCACTGTATAGTAAAAACTCTCCTGCTCACTTGCAATTATACCATCTCACAGGCACTGCAAGGGAGCATAGGGTAAAGGCCAGGCACTGTTCTTGTCTTGACTTTTGGAGGCTGTGAGGTCTTTCTGAAAACACCTTTTAAGACAAACTGGCTGGGGGTTTGATGCTCTGCCTTCAGCATTCTAGATTCAAACATCCAAAAGCTTCATCCTTAGCATAAAAAAAAAAAGTTATCTTGAGTTTCTTATTAAACATTCACTTAAAATAAATACTGAAACATCTCAAACTGCAGTAGAGGATCATTGGTGAATGATATAAAATATCTGTGTTGTTTATATGGGGTTCTAAAATAGTGGCTTTTCCCGAGTATACCTAAATTTTCACCCCAGAAGCTCTTTAGAAAAGGAATATAACAAAGTAGTACATAAAATTAAAGAAAAAACCCAAACCACAACCTACCCTACAATACATGGCTTTTGTTAACCATGTGGTATTCTGGCCCATCCCTAGTATTACAAAAGTCTATTTTCAGGCTTACCATAATGACTGTAGGATATTTTATCTGTTCCTGCATTTAAAAAGTTTTTTGAAGTCTTAAAAGGTTTGGGGGAAGCGTTTTTCATGCAGAGTAGCATGGATCTTCTACAGTAACACAGCGTATCAGAACTGTTAATCTGAAGTTAGTATTCTCAAAATAGCACTTCTGCTTTGTCTGTGTAAGTGTTGGGGACTTTTTCCCTCACAAGTAATAAAGAGGTAACAGCATGGAGTATTCATGCATCCTGTAGGCGACTGGAAATGTGATGACTAGCCCTTACTGGCTGACCTATCTGCTTTTTTTAAAAAACAAACAAACAAAACCAACAAAAAAGGAAATAGGCTGGAGAGCTTTAGGCAAAATGAGTTTACATGATGAATGTGGTACTCTTAAATAAGGCTGGAATCAAAATGAAAGAGGGCTGGGTGGGGAGGGGACAGGAGGTGAGAAACTGGCAAGGTGCTGTGTTGAGACTTTCTCACAAAACTTTTTGGGCATTCTGCTGGGACCGCTCCTAGAACTAACCAGGAGTTAATTTCTCATCTGTAGTTGAGCTTAACCATTCCTTTCTCTGCCCCAAACTGGAGGGAAGTGGTCCATTTCAATTTAAGCTTAGGAAATGTTTGGGAGCATTTCTGTCTTTCTGAACTAAATAGTAAGAAAAAACTGTAGTGTAAATTCTTAAGTCAATTTCTAGAATGACTAAATTTTTATCACTTTAATTTGAGGAAACATAGTCCATAAAATCAACACGAGCAAAAAATCTTTTTTATTCTTCCATCAGGTCATCGTACACCTAATGATAAACCTAATGATAAAAACATGCTAAAGCTAAATTCCAAAATTCTTCCAAGACAGGTAAGTGTTGCTCAAGTCCTATTTGAGAAGAGCTTGAGTATACTTACTAGGATCAGTAATTCCTTGTCCTGGGATCTTCTCTGAAAATCTGGTCTTTGATGATGCAAATATTTAGTGTCTGATAGGTCTTGGGCATTGTTATAACCTGTGCAGATTTATCTCATTTCTAGTACTAAAAAACAAACAAACAAAAATCTATGGGCTTTGATCATTTCAGAAGGTAAATGATATAAGATTAAGTTAAAAATAACATATTCATATTTTCATAAAAAATATGGGTTATGTTATTCAATACTTAAACAAGGATCTAGAGTTCCTTCATTTGGTTTTAATATTCAAGCTATTAGTGTGCTTTCCTTTGCTGATCAAGTAACAAAAATAAGACTAGTGTGGAATATAGCCTTGGGTACTATTGAAAAACCTGTTCTGAAAAAAGGATGGTGCACTTTTGATGACATTATCACAATCGGTAAATAATCTGGAAGGTTTTATGGAAGTTAAGCAAAATATTTCCCAGCATACAACAGGTTATCTTAAATGGAGGAATAGAGGAATTTTCTTACCTATTATTTAAATTATTCTGTGGTGATCAGCTATTCGAAAACATCAGATCGGAATTACTAGTCTACGTAATTAATCGTGTCAGCCTCCCAACCTGAAAAGTTTGTATATAGTCTGTTGAATTAAAATATTCTTAGGATTTTTCTTTAGGCACTTAGCTTTCAGAAAGCTATTAACTAACTTATTGAATTCAATTCCAAATATATCTTTCCTTCATAAACATGTGACCACCTACTAGAAGCAATACTTCTTAAGAATATTTAAGAATACCGTGTTTATGCTGTTTTACACTGTGAAGAAAATGCCATGGGGGGGAGAAAACACAGATACTTAAAAGAGACAAAATCCACAAGGCTAACACAAAACTATTGTTATGTAAGGATTATGTATAGAAATGAGATGGATGTTCTCTGTATTAAAATATTGTCAATGGACCTTGCATAAGCTCAGTCTTGTGAATTCATATGTTCTGTAGTTAAAAAATGGAGAGGTAGACATAAAGGTTTGGGTAAGAATAGCTACAAATGCTAATGATTTTTAGCGTGTTGCTAAAGAATCTCAAAGTTGATGAGAACACATATTGAAGTCTGCTTAGATTGCTGTATTTGCACTAATATTCTGCCAAAGTAAGGATATTTTGTTGTAGGTATTCCCAAATAGGTCCAGTCAAAGCAGCATTGTGCTAATATAAGAGCTAAGCAGATAATGGATGATTAGTAGTTGTATTTTTGCCTCTTCCATGTTTTCCTTTTTCTAATAACTTCAGGATACAGGATTTAAGAATATAGATTCCTGGGTAAGCTTATGTAAAACAATGATGCTTCCAGCTCCAATAAAAACATCTGCTGAGAGTTTCAAACAGTTCAGGAAAGCAGCATTAAAGAAAAAGAGTGGGCAAGCACAGGAGTTAAAAAGGCCTCTGGTGCAAGCTGAGAGGGAAATGCACAACCTTCCTCAAGAAAAAGAGAGGTTTGTAACCACGTATGTTTAAATATTATTCTATTTTTTGCTTGTATGGTACTGGGTTATTCAGCCTATGGGCTTAGTTATTCAGCAACAAGTGGTTTGCATTAAGTAATTGCCATGTGTCAGCTGAAAGGGGGAGCTGTACCACTCTAAGCACAACTGCACATCCAAAATGCACGAAGTGGCTTTTTCCCTTGCAAATCAGTTTAATTTCAGCAGTCAAAGAAACTCCTCGGGTACTTTTTCTTTTTCTTTTTTTTCTTTTTCTTTTTTTTTTTTTTTGCCCCTGGAGCACTCAATTCCTCTGGTCATGACCAGAATTCACACCTGTCCTCGGTATCTTACTTCCGTATACCTGTAGCCAGGAAAATCCCTATCTTATTGGTATCGTAAGGGGAAGCAGGATAATCCAGTCTTCAAGAACTTGGTGTTCACATAGCTAAAGTAGTTCCAGTATGCACCACTTCAGACAGCAGAATTCTTTGCATTGCTATAGAAAAATATATTCAATAGGCTACTGCTGTAGTATTCTTCCCTGGTTTTTTGCAACCACTGTTTTAGTGAGTGCATACATATGTATCCCAGTCTGAGGTCTATTAATATGCTGAGTAGGATAACTGACTACCTACTAATTACTGCATTGCAGTTATATCCTAGATTGCTGTTTGCCACCTTTTTGAAACTCCTGCTTCCTGTAATATTTCCCACTTCAGGAGTCTTAAGTTTTTTTCTTGTCTGTTTGACCCAGTGAAAGATAAGCGTGAGCTGGTTCTTAAATTCTCCTGCTCCTGCCCATTGCTGGCTGTATTAGAATAGGTCACTTGTTTGGAGTGTATTATTTTAATAAACAGAGCATTTGAGAGACTTAAGAGTACACTCCTTGTTCAGAATGCATAGTGAGCAGTCCAGGCACCTTCAGCTACTACAGGTTTCCAAGAGGAGGGAAACCAGGCATGTAGCTCTATGGAATAAGACATTACAGATGCTTGCCTGAAGTAAGTGAGCTCTACCTTAAATAACTAGTTGAAGAGGAGTAAGGAGAAGCAAAACATCAGGGGGCAAGAAAGTAACAAAAAATCAAGCATGTATGTCTTTCAAAGAAAGTGCATGTAAGTTTTGTGTAGCATATATGTAAGTCCTGTGTGCATATAGATTGGAAATGGAACACAGGAAACCTTAACTTACTGCAGCCCAACAAGTGCGTGCACATACCTCTTGCAAAGGGAAATTATTGTGAATCAACATGTAAAACAGAACCACAGTTTGAATGCTATGCACTGATTTAAATTATTTGCAGAACTCCTGTTCAGGTGCAAAGGCTTGTTATGAAGAAAAAGAAACAACTTTCATCCTATACCAATCTCTTTTCCTGTCTTTAAAGGGGCCATGAAGGCACAGGATTGGATGCCATAGCAGTGACAGACTGTGAGCCCCAAAAAGAAGGGCATAAGAGCAAACAACTGCCTGAAGCTCAACAAGGTACTCTTGTTCAAGACCGTAATTTGGCTAGAAAAATGGAACAAGAACGCAGGAGGAGAGAAGCAGTAAGTTGCTGACTCTTGCCAGCTGATTTTGTTTCAACTTCAGTAGAGAATAAAAAATGTTAGTTCAGGTCCTTATTTTAAAGGAATATAAAAAAGACTATCTGCTTGGTCCTATTACTCCCCTAAGCTTAGAATAATTGTGTGGTAAAATGAAGTTTTAAAGAGGAGTCCCTGCCCTCTGAATAATTTCAAACCTCAAGCCTTGCAAGCTGTCTATTCTCTTGAATATATTCCGTGTCAACAAATGGTAGTCATACTGTTCTGGTCTGAAGTATCAAAACTGAGCCTTTTCAAAACTAACTTACTGGCTTTATTGGTGTAGGTAATGAAAGTTTTTTAACTGCTACTTTTTTTTTTAGATTAAACATTTTTTTTAAATTCATAATATTGTATAACGGAATGTGAGAACTGCAGTATGCGATAATGCTAGATTCAGATAAGGTCTACTGAAGCTTTTGTCCTGTTCAGCTCTTTTCAGAGGATTTCAACAACATGTGCAAACTTGTAATAACAGAGGAAGCGTACACTTTTGGGGAAGAAGCTTTGTAGTTTTTTCTTAAATCTTTAAATATTTGACCTGCATAGTATTCATTAATGTCTGATTGCTCTGAAAATACACTAATTTGCTTTCTTGCAGATGGCTTGTATAATTGATATGAATCTGCAGAGTGATATTATGGCATCTTTTGAAGAATATCTTGAGTGAAAGCTGTGGTCAGTATAGAACTTCAACACTACTACAAACTGTACAACTTTGAAAATGTACTAGTTAGAAGCTTAAACGTTAAGACCACTTTAAAGAGCATGTAAGCTCCTCTAAAATGCTTAATATTAAAAGCTTGTTCATTGACACCTGAAGCATCACAAGATCTTTTTGCTGCTTGTTTATAATATATGTAATCTAGTCTGCTACACAGTGGACTGTAGTTATTTCGATTACAGTCTCATATGTTGTGTGTGTGTGTGTATATATATATATGAGAAAATATCAGCTTTTTGATTCTTTTCTCATTTTTTTAAACCAATTTTTTTCAGAAACACTTGAGAATCTGTTATACCAAGCATAGCCAAACTCTTGTTTGACTGTATTAAATCATAGTATGCTAAATATGCACCTACAGAAACTACTTTAAACCAAGGTCTTGTCAATTGTGTGACTGCTATTAAAACAATCCCTTTACTATGACACACTTGCACAGAATCTGCGCTGTGACAAAAGACCTCTATAATAGTGATAATTTCTAAAGGGTGTGTAAGATTATTTGTAATTGTAAAAAAACGTTTCCTGGAACTCTAATTTCAGCAGCAAATCCTGTATACTTGCATGTCTTTTAAGGCCCAGACATGTTGATATTCTGTTTAATGTATTTTATGTTAACATAACATTTGGATAAGGGTGCAAGCACATTTGCCAGATCGTTCTGGTTCTTCACATAAGGAAATTAGCTAAAACATCCCACCTCTGGCTCCAGTTTGAAAGGCTTTCTGATTAATGCAAGTTTTTATTAATGTTGGGATACTTGTCTGAAGTAGAAACTACAATGTAAAAACCCTACGTTCTCACTGATTACATATAGCTATCTCAAATTAAGTACAGGACTAATAAAACATTGTTTTATAAAATTAATACCAAAACACAATGTGCATTACAGAAATGTTGGGTGGAAGGGGCCTCCTTGAGATAATCTAGTTCAGTGGTCTCCAAACCTTTTTTGTCATGCACCCCATTATTAAAAAATTTTAAGCATGCATCCCAAGATGTGTATTTATTCATTTATAAATTATATACATGTTCTACTGTACTAATATATTATTTACATTATTTTAAAAATACACAAAAGGGGAAACTAAAAATATTTTAAATAGTGTTTATTTAATTTTGCTTAGTTATTTTTATTTTGTTTATTTTATTTTGTAAATTAAAAAAAAAATGTTTGTATTAAATGTTTTCGTCCCACACTCCACTTTGGAGGCCACTGATCTAGTTGAACCTACCCCTTAAAACTCTCTCTCCCTATGGAGACCTCTGGTCTATCCAGCTCCTGGATCAAACTTGGAAGTGAAGGTAACACTGCCAGTGTTGTGGTGAGGGTCTGCCACAGACACACAACTAAGTAAACTAAGTGGACAAGACCTTCTACAAAATAACTGAATTTTCAGATAAAGGAAATAAATTTCATCTAAATTCATAAATGACAGCTAAAGTGTGCCTAAAAACAGTAGCCTGGTCTTTCAGGTAACAGGCTGATGAGCTAGTGCTATCTCCAAAATACCTATTCTGCAGGAAAGTACTACTCTGTATCTTCTGCCATTGCTGGAATGGTAGTATTTCATTCAATAGCAGAAAGAGTGTATGCTGACAAATGCTCAGATTGGGGTATTGCCCCTTGAAACGTCTAAGGAGGTCTTTCTACATGAGCCTTGCCAGGACGCATGCTCAAGTGTATGTTGTTTGGGATATTTGAAGTACTTGGCTAGGAAGGGGACTTAGGGTGAAAGGGTGGGTTGTAACGTAAAGTGGTGCTGTTAGGATGTTGTGTTTTACATCCACATCAAAAGTGATTTAGGCCTGCCTTCGCTTACAGTTTATACATCATTAATAGCTATTTGGCCTGCAATCAAGTATTACAGTTCACATTCAGGACTCCCTACCTTGCTGTCATCTGGACATACTTTCTGATTGGGTTAATGCAAGCTCAAGATCTCTTGCTTTGGAAATACGAGGTGACAGAGGGAAGGGCAAGAATTTATCCTCTGCATTTCATCCCTTCTATATGACTATATGGGCATTGCTAATGGTATGAACTGGTACTTTCACTCCTTCAAACGCTAATTCCAGCTTCCATGACTCTATATGGTCATGATGACTTAAAGTCATAATGTCACTGCTGCTAATGCTAATCTGATAAACCCTTTATTTGCAACCCACAAGTCACTTAAAGAGGATAATCGGCTCCTACCTCCAGACAGAAGGCTGAGTTCGGAGGAAAGGGAGATGGCCTCCAAATGTAAGTGAGCAGCAAGCACTGTGTTTGCCCAAAGCTGTCACCACACTGAAGAAATACCACTTGTGTAGATACCCCCTGCAAACAACAAGCTGCTTAAACAGACTAAATATTGTTAGTTACCTAACAGTTAAAATGTGTACTAAGTTCTGTCATGCCATTAATTCACCTTGATCATTTGTGAAAATAGCTGCACTAATGTGTCATTTTTATACTTGTGTTTACACTAGTAGATTGTATCTACACATTAATGATGGGTAAGATAGTTAAAAGCTTTAAAAAGTTCCTCTGTCACTAATAAACAGAGCATGTTAAATTTTTTACTATCAGCTATGAGTTGGTCAGGCTGGAGGCAGAGTCAGTGATGTGCAAAGTTGTCCTCTTTTGTCTCAGAGAAATGGGATTAGTTGAACTGACAAAAGATAAGCAGGCAGATGGCAAATTATGGAGGGCAAAGCACACTGTCAAAGCACTTAAGACCATCTGCCCTGGGGTTGGTTTGGCTTGGCACCCATTAGAACAATAATTTAGAGCAGAAGATGAGAAAATCAAAATATAAGGAAGACAGAAAAATAACTGTTGGGGTTCTCATTTTTTCTTATTCATATGGGATATACAGAAGATTCTAAGCTTTTTTTCTGCAAAATGTTGGAAAAAGTGTGGAAGGTATTTGCCTTGTACAAACAGGTTTGCCACACGTACGTAGACAGTGTGGTCCTAGATTACAAAGAAAGCACTCCTCATTAAAAGAGGAATTCTATCACTTCCTTGGCAAACAGGACAGCTAAGGTAGCACAGCTGGAGGTGCCTAGAAATGCTGAGCTAGGGTGTGTAGCAGGGTGTGCAGCAATCTCATTGTGCAAAAGCTGCTCAGAACTGCTAGGTCCCCAGCACCACCTTTTTCTCAGCTCTGATACTGGATCCATATCTAATATCTGGAGATAACATAGCTTAATTCCACAAGCAAAAGGTTTGTATAATGTAGAAGTTTGACATAGAACTACCTAGGTAGTTAGTGATGTATAAACTAAAAACAGACTTAGTTCCATTTTTGTGGAAAAAATAGCTCTGCTGTTTGTACAAGAAATATGGTATAGCTTGGCCAAATACCTGCTTGTAATAAGACACATCATGGTTCCATCTTTAATCCTTCTTGTATTCTAGCTGGCTACTGTAATTTTGTGAATGCTGTGTCTAGCCTGTTGCTGAGTTTTCATCAACCTTTCTTTCGAGGTAAGCGGAAGCTTGTGGTCAACTCCAGGATTTCCAACCTTGGTTTTCCAGGGTTTTTTAGGGGATGTTTTCTACCAATTCATTCTGATTACTGGTTTATTAAGGAATTTGATGACTACTGTGATATAAACAACAACATTGGTTGCTGTGCTCCTGCCAAACCTTCTAATTTATCTAACTGGGTTGCTGGTTTACCAAGGTGCACTTTAGGGGGAAAACCCTGCTGCAGCTAGTCTGCTCTTGAGAAGCTGTGAAGGCTTCTTCCCTACAAAAAAAAGGTTATTAGTACAAAGTCTGATGCACAAAAAATTAGCTATATGCTAATCCTGGGGTTGGTGGTATGAGTAATCTGAGCATGAACGGAAGGCTCAGGCTTGGTAGGCATGATTCATATAATCCTACTGGAGTCTGCAGAGGTTAGTGTCTTAACTGAATCATCAGCTTCTGATGTTGTTCCTTCTCTTCTCGCCCAAGAGAAGGAAGGAGCCTTAAACAGCCTAGCAGCTTTTTCCCCAGCAGCCTGATAAAGCTCCTGACCTTAAGTTTGTAGGGCTCACATTCAAAGAGCAGGGATCGAGAACAGCGTGATTCAGCGCTGTCAGCTGATGTGGGTTGCTGATAGTTCATTCATGTTATTGATAAGAGGAAGCTAGGCAGCTTTTTACAGCAACTTGAAGATGTTATCTTTAGGAGTAAAAAATAAATTCAGAGAATGGTTTTGTATCTTATTTAAACTTTAAAATGCATGAAAATGCAGCAATGGGCAATTCTTTGTAACATTCCTTTCTGCTGCTTAGGCTTTTTATTTGATTTTTAAAAAAGAAGAATTTTGAACTTGTTGAAACAGGCATTAATTCTGTCACTGCCTTCAGTGGGACTAGGATTCAACATCAGCATCTATATTTGTAAGTCTGAATTTAGAACAAGTAGGAGAAAGCATTTGGTATGTTACAGACAAAAATTGTCTACAAGCTGTGTTCCATGCACAGTGAAAAATTATATGTATTCCGTCCGCATACATGCTTATCCGGTTTGGGTTTTTTTTAAATAGCTTGTTAAATTACATATCTTAGAGCTAACAGATGCATGGTGTCTTTGTACCAGCTTCTACTTGCACTGCTGGACAGAGCAAAAAAACTTTCTTGGAAGCTAAGTTCTAATCCTCCAAATTCACCTGAACCAAGAAAACCTTTTAGTCTTCATCAAATTCCAAGTAAAATTTGGCAGCACCACCCCCACCCCCAAAGGCAGGCAGTTGCCCATAGGCCTATGTTATTAGCTGTGACTCTGATGTCGTCTCTACAAGTCTCGAACCTGGCTGTACCCTCTAGTCTGAGAAGCAAGGGGTTAGATCAAGGAGTAAAGGTGAGCAGGCTGTGCAGTGAGGTGGGTCAGGACTTGTCAGGATTTGACATGCAAGCTCAATTCTATACTTTTCTTGTAGTCAGCAACTACAATGTCCACATTC